GTATTTGGTCTTAGAATTAGGTTAAAAGATTTGTATTTTACACCAGGTGTCGGAGCAGGGGCGGATCAAGGATTTTCTCGAGAGGGGGGCGGATTTTCCAAAAAAAATTTCCAAAATCTTTTTTTAGGCCGACCAAATTGATTTTTCGAGCTCTCCTAGAGCACTGTTTTGCCCCTATTTTGGCTAGGTTATCTGCGCCGCAGGCAAATTTTTGAAAAAAAAAACAGTCAAAAAAGCTGTTTTTGGGCACTTTTTGAAAACTTTTGACAGAAAAATTGCGTTTTTTTTGGCGCGCGCTCCCCCTCAAAGTTAGTATATATTAGCGCCGAAGGCGCCTTTAGAAAAATTTTAGGGTCGGTCGGCCAAAAATGGATTTCTGAAAAATTATCAAAGGGGGGACCCTTTGGGTCGACAGGGGGTCGAATCCAAGAAGGGGGGTACGCCACCCCCCGCCCCCCGCCTATCTCCGCCCCTGTGTCGGACGAATTCTTGTGATGTTTTCCTACTGTTTCCCTTGTGAGTTTTTTTTTTGAAAAATTCATTCAGGTTTTTTTTAAAAATCAATAATTGTTTTTCACAGACAATGAAGTACAGTCGGATCAATCGAGGATAGCGTTGATAAAAGCCATTTTCTTCGATTTATATCGCGCAGAAGCGCCGACAAAATTTTCACATAAAGGCAGTTAAAGGTTTATGTTTGGGCTAAGATGTTTTTTTTGCCTTTTTTCTTTTTTGTTGTTTTCAACGTCAAAATACGTATGCGATATACAAAAAGCAATGAAGCCATTTGAAAGCATTAATTCCTCAAAACTCCAGTCATTCATGTGTGTCTTAGAAAATTTTGTATAATCAGACCATTTTAATGTGTTCCATTTTAATATCAGCTTTCAAATCTCAGAGAACCAACAAAATCATCTCTCAGTCCTGTTTACTTTAACGGAAGCTCTCTATAAAATTAGTTTGAGATATGTTCAATAATAAATAAAGCGCTTCGTGACAGTTTCACATTTGGTGACTGCTTCTTTCAGTTTCTTGGCGCGTTATCTGGCAAATTTATTGACAAAGGAAAAGTGCGCAATAAAATATTAATTATCGCAACTTTTGTTCGTTTGAAATCATTACAGCGCAAGCTCGCTTCAATTGGTACTTTTTTTGAAAAACTGTACGCAAAATCATCGCCCAAGTTTGTGCAACCTCTCGAATACCTATTTTAACTTCCGTCGCTGAAAACGAAGATTCTCATTTTCGCACATTTTACGAGCTTCAGTTTGTCTCCGACAATTTAGCTATAAACTATGTTATCTCATCTGATTTCGATATTGTCATTTCTTAGGTGACAGCTCTAATGTCTTCTTTTCGACTGCGTGACATTAGTAGCGCACAATCTGTGCAGTTCCAGAAATGATAAGAAAACATTTGAGGGTCGACCAGAAAGGTCGACAAAATTTTCAATTTGTTTTCAGAAATACGCCCCTTAGAAAAACGTCTGCTCGCGTCACTGATTTCAGCAGATGTGAAATTTAAAATCTGAGTAAGTGTTTTTTGCGAACAAAAACGTTTGAGCAAATGTCAATTGAAGTTGGAAATCTGCTCACGTGTTTTTTTTTCTGCTCAACTGTTTTTACTTGAATAATATGTGAGCAGTGTTCGAATAAACACTTGACAAATTTTAAGGGTGTATTGGTTTGAATTCCACATAAAATTTCCCCGAAACCCGCTCAATTTGTGTTTAATTTAGCTACAGTTTTAAAACCTTCAAAAGTCGGAAATCTGACGGATCGAAAGACAAATGAATCGAAAACAAACGAGACCGTTCGTATATCTGATCAAAGCCCTGAATGTTCCGACTAACAAGTAACTCATATCGAATAATTTATAATGAAAATCTACAAATTTTGAACAATATCAAAGTGTGAAATAATGAGTCGTACGAAATTAATACCACTGATTTAATTAGCAAGCCTCAATTCAATTTGGAACAACTTTGTTGTGCGGGATAACTTGCCACGCATAAATAATTCGTGTCACGCTATCAGCAATATGAATAAATTCTTCAAAGCGCGCATAATTTAGAACGTAGCCACTTTGGCAACTTTTAAACCCCCAGAATTTTACAAAAAATACTTGGAGGTAAAATATCTTTCTACATTTGAACTCAAAAAGTCAATACCTTAAATGGAGAAAAAACCATTTTTGTCGAAAACTATTATTTCGATCGGCGATAATTGGCTGAATAATAAAAACTACACCGAGCACAATTATTCCGTTTTTTTCGAAAGTCGGAACAAAAATTATCGCTAAGACTTACTTTAGAATCCAACGGAAATGTATCATTCGAAGACAAATGCTTAGCTATACTTGTTTTGGACACAAAATAAGTTCTTTTTACTGTTTTAAGAGGCCTCAAAAAATCAAGAGCAATGTACAAAAAACTTCTACAAAATTTCAGAAATCACCACTCCCTCAAAAAACTTCTAGATCCGCGTGACAAAAGGTTGACCCCTGGGAACATGAAGGATCAAACCATTGCATGCGCCTCCGTGAAATACTGAATACGCTGAAAGAAGACATTATGAATTTTAGGTGTGCACGTTTTGTTCGAATGGAAAGCAAACATCTGGCAAAATTATTGATGAAAAAAAAAGAATTGTTTGCAGTACTACTATATTTTTTGCTGATATTGCCAGGTTTAACCTTCAAAGAACAATAATAATGGCTAAAAATTAGTTTTAATTATCACAAATATTTTTTAAATGCCGAAATGATGTTCAGCTTCCGAAACGATTAAGAATAGGAATATTTTTTTTGCCTGTGATGATATCAGTCGCCAGTCTTTTACTAAGACTTAGAGAGTAGTAAAAATTGATATTTGATTCAAGTGATACTAAACAGATTTTTGTATAGACGTTTTCCGAGCTCGCAAAAAAAATCAAACAAAATGAATTTTGGTCTTGTTTACTGAATGGTTGCTTGATAAAACTGATTCCGCGGTGATTATTATGATTTCCGGTTCTGATTTTTTAAAAATCTTAAGCAACTAAGCGTAATGCTCTTTTTGAGTTTTTTACAGTCTGTCATAATTGTAGATGCTGACTGTAGATGCTGACGTTGATATGTTAATCGTTCATCGTAATTTGGGACTCTCAAAACATTCAAAAAATAGTGTCGTGAAAAAAAAGACAGTATTGAAAACTTATTTCTCGCATTCCATAAAATTCGTTTTCCACTGAAAATTCTTTGTAGTCAATGTCGGAACAATTGCTAGCTACTGTACACTAAACAACAACTATTTTTTTCCCTGGGGCTTAGCGATATTGACAAGCGCCTATTGATGAGCGCTAGCTGATTTAATTGGACGTTTTTTCAGTATTTAAAAAAAAATCACTGAGTTTGCATTAAGAAAAATTTTTTTAATTTTCGTGCGTTTGAAACGCAAAATGTAAGGTATTTGAGTAAACAAACTTCAGTGAGCAAACCTTGAAAAGCGAAGACTTTTTTTTTGATTCGCTTTACTTTCTTATGATTATTTGGGTCAGTTCATTTATTCCGCCAATGTATGAAGCAGCCCCAGTTAAGTTGCTCACGTTATGTTTTGACTGTATTGACCAAAGCTCTATTGGTTTCGACTATATCGACCAAAACTCGGTTTTTTTCGACCGTTTCGGCGTAATTCGGGTTTTTTTGACGGTGTTCGACCGAATTCGGTGTTGTTTTGACAGTGTTTGACCCAATATATTTTCTGTGGAACGCCTTTTCAAGGCAGTTCTATATATGATCAAAAAATATATGGTTACTTGATTCTATAATGCACAATTTTGCGAGTATGTTTCGACCGTTCTCGATGTATATTTTGAATAAGTGCTCGATCACAAACCCGGTATCAGATATTCATTTTCGGATAAGCACTGACATAAAGTGAGCACATCACCGATTAGTTATTAAAGCAAGAAAAACGATTAGTTAATAAAAACCAATTTCAAATAAAGCCGAACTTTGAGCTGTTAGGAAGATTTTTTTTGTCTCTTGGAGCTAGTTTTTGATTTTGTGGAGCGGGTTTAAAATGGAGCTGGATGCCGGAATCTCAAATCAAGGTTTCCAGCCCAAACTTGAGCAAGATTTGAGCGGTTTGAGTGGTTTTTCAAAAAAAAAATTAAGCGGGTTTTTATTTGATTTTTTAGGAAACTCAATGAACTTTTGACCCTAGAACGTTTTAGGTCGGTTTCGAAATATATTTTGGTATTACGAAGGTTAGAAGTTCATTCTTTTCAAAAATTGATTGTATGTGCCCTGCAACAAATACATCGGGAGAAAGTTTTCGAGAAAAAAAATTAAAAATTGCTCAAGATTTGAGCAGCTTGAACGGTTTTTGCTAAAATTTGAGCCGTTTTGAACGGTTTGAGCGTTTCTTGCGAGGATTTAAGCAGTCTTTGAGCGGTTTGAGCGCAATCGTCCTTAAAAAAGCTCAAACTGCTCACAAATCTTGAGCGGGTTTTGAGCGGGATCAAGACTAGGGATCTGATTGGCTATTCTAACTTCTCTCAATTAGTTTCCAAATTAGTTTCACTTTACGAAGTGGAATATTCATTTTGTGTGAAAAATTTCAGAAACCTTGCAAAAAATTTTGCAAAAAAAATCTTCATGTTTTTTAAACTAAAAGGCGTAATTTTGACCTGCATTTCGAAAACCTATCCGATAAATCGAGTAAATCGTCTTTCTTGAGTGCAATGGTTCTTTCAACGTGCAGAATCTTATCCTTGGTTATGGTATTTTATTTTGTTGTTTTTACATCAGTTTTGTTGCGTTTATTTTCTAACATGAGTTCTACTAACAATTTAACTTCGAGCCTTGTATACCAGAAATATTTTGACTTATTTTCAAAACATGATCCAAATATCCAGCATAATCGAAATTCTATGACTGATTTGGAAGCACTTTTAAACCCCTTTTTAGCTCGCTCCGGCTTAGATGAATTTGTGCATATTAAAAATACCTCTCAAAGTTTTTACAGTCACTGCGATACTTGCGCAGTTGTGAGCAGTTCAGGAATTCTCTTAAATTCTTCAGCTGGTGATTTGATCGATGGTCATATATGTGTATTCAGAATGAACAACCATGCTAGTGCAAAGTTCGAAAAAGACGTGGGACAAAGGACCACTCACAGGTATTCTTAAAGAAGACAAGTTCTGTTTAAATCAGGGATTATTTAAAATCAGGGGAATATTAAACAAAAATATTCAGTGATGAACTATTTCTACCCTTGAACAAAAATCTTATTTTGAACAAAAATGTTCAGTGATGAACTATTTTACACTTGAACAGTGATGAACTATTTATACCCTTGAACGAAAATCTACTTTAGACAAAACTATTCAGTGATGAACTAATTCTACCCTTGAACAAAAATCTACCCTTGAACTAAAATATTCAGTGATGAACTATTTCTATCCTTGAACAAAAATCTACCCATGAACAAAAATAATCAGTGATGAACTATTTCTACCATGTGAGCAAAAATCTACACTTGAACAAAAATATTCAGTGATGAACTATTTCTACCGTTGAACAAGAATCTCTGTCAGAGTTTCACGACGCAATAATCACTCCGGTAGAGTAATTTACAGGAAACCTTGTAATTGAAGGGGATGTCTCTAGGTTTTCCTATCTACGTACTCCCGCTCTTTTTCTTAGAGTATGTGTTTATATGCATTTTTTTGTTAAATCGTTCAGCGTTCCTTAAATTTTTTGAACAAACAATGTGATAAGCGGTTATTGAAAAGTAACAATCACGAGACGAGAAGAGAAGATTTCAATTGCCAATCTTTTTTGCAAAGTATTTTTTCCGCAAATTTTTTCTCAATGTGTTTCCCACTAAATTTGATTAGAACAAATCAAAGTCCATTAGATGGCAACTGATGCTTCCATTTTGTTATTACGTCACTTACTTACAAAAGAGATAGAAAAGCAATTTACAAACATCTTGCCGAGTCTTGTTCATTGCACGTGGTCAGTCTACAAAAAAAACTAAAATTAAAAGTTCTTCAAAAAGATTTAAAAAAAAAATCTTTTAAGAAAAAACAAAATCGGACAATTTTTTCAAAATTTTCTAAGAAAAATTTGGAATACACTGAAAATTTAAAAAAAAATGCTGTCTGCGGTCTAGCTATTCACTTTTTGTGATTGTCAGTTCTTGTCGAGCTTGTTTTTTGTGTGTTAATTAGGGGCCTGTTTTGATTTAATGTTCCTTTTTGCTGGTTTTCTTTTAGTGGTCGTGATTATTTTAGCAACTGCCGGGCTCACTCCTCTTTCGACCCTAGATCACTTTGAATGTAAGAGCGACCATTCCACTGTAGCGTTGCGCCGATCTAGCAACAAACTGCACCTGTTAAAATTATTATCACAACCCTATAGGTAAACGAAATCTTACAAACTCTTAATACTTTTTTTTAAGATTTCTGAAGTAAAACTTGCCATACTGATGTTTTTTGCTTTGCAAAATTATTTTAACTTTTGTAAGCAATTCAGGCTCCTTTTTTAATTGTTTTGCTTTTTTAAACAAAAGTAACGGAATATTTGTGCCCGTGGTGGTTTTTTTCTTCAGACAAATTTCGACTTTTTAACTAGCCGTTTTCAAAAGAATTTTTTGTATCATTCAAAAGGTATTGTTGTTCTGAACCTAAATTTGAAAAAGATTATCACCTGTGATCGTTTTTCACAAAGTTAAGGGGTTCAAAGATTGCCATTTCGACCAATTTGGAACAATGAACGCGCGGTGTATTTCGCGCTATTAACGCGCAAGCGGAGATTTAATCCGTCTTAGAAATCGTTCCAAATAAAATGAAAGAAGATTATGTTCCATATATGATTTGTTAATAGGATATAAATGTATTAATTTGTACTTTATATGGTGTGTGGGGGATGATTTTCACAAATAAATTCTCAATTTTAAAAACAAAAAGTTTCATTCTATTTTATTATATTTATTTTTTTCATATTTTTACTGCTCAATGGACATTAAAAAGCAGTGGAAACATCTAGGGCTTCACCCTGATAGGAGCAGTTTTGTTGTTTTTGTCGATGTTTTTTCATTATTGCCGCCAGTTTCTCGAAAATTCATTTTATACTTTACCAAATACTGCACATACTAATTATTAATTCGCTGCATCCGAAATACATTACTTGGTGGGGGTTGAGTTGGAAAACGCAAAAAAAGTTTTTATGTTCCTTTTTTCTTTTCATCAATTTTTTGAAGCAAACACTACTCCATACAGCTTCAAAAATCAGTTGCAGCATTCAAAACTTAGCACTGATATGATCAACCTTGTATCATTTTGTACTTTACATAGCGTGTGGGGTGATGATTTTTTTATAAAAAAAACCTCATTATTTTGAAATGTTATTTTGTTTTAAAAAATTTATAAATGATTTTAATGTAAGCTACTCCATGGAAATTAAAATGCAGTCGGATCCTTCAAAAGCCCTTTCTGTTACGAGTAGTTTTGTTTGACTTAATGCTTTCAACAGTTCAACAAACAGACATACAATGATCAATATTAAAAGACTTTCTCCGGCTCAACTTTTTTTTTATTTAGTAGTAACTTTGGAGCAGAACAATTTGAATCAAAGGTGTTTAACACTACAACTGCTCTATTTCTGTTTTTGTAATTAAACAACAAGTAAGTTCAAAAAAGAAAACTAAACAAAGGGACAAAAAAATTCGAGTGCAATTTTCACAGCAACAAGTTATTCTTGGTGTATGTTTAGAGTGATTGCTCATAGTGCCATCAACAACATCCCGTCTAACTTATCCATATCAGAACTAACTAACGAAAAAACTACATATCTAATATGGGGTCCCCACCACGACGTCAGATCAAGTGGATCAGCTTACAAATGGGCACTTAGAACCCACGACTTTGTAGCCGATCATCGAACTCCAAATGTGAAAGTGTTTATTGTCGGGAGCAAAAACACCACCAATTATTTTGACGGTATTTGGGAAGAGGAGAGGGGAGTGAACAGAACGACGACAAGTACCTGGCTGTCAACTGGATTTTTCACAATGGTGACTGCTCTTAATATTTGTGATCAAGTGACGCTTTTTGGATTTGTGAAGAGAACGGATTGTGCTATGGAAAAACAAGGCTACAAGGTAGGAATTATAAGTGGCAGAGAGGTAATTGCAGGGGCGGATTTTTGGGCCCCTGGAAAATTGGCCAGCCCTACAACTCCTTCCTTCGACCACCACGCCTCAAATTTTCTTAAAAGCGAGAGTCTTACCAAAAATTATGCGTTATGTGATCTAAATTTAGAAAGTTTTAGTCAGCAACATGAAAAAATTTCACAGCAAGCGAAAATTTACTATTCATTTTTTGCTAAATTGCTTTTTTGGTTCGTGCAAGTTTTTTCTTATTGTGTTCTTCTTTCTTATCGCAAAAGTGGGCAACTAGTAGGTACAAAATTCATGAATGCTTAAAAAATCGAAATAGACATAGGGTAAATGTAGGGGTTGTTGTTCAATACAATAGTTGAAGAGATCTACTTTTGTAAACTAAAAATTTTGTAGCTTGTACAAAATATGCAGAACCAAAATCTGAAAACTTCTTTCGAAAATTGCCAAAATTAGTCATGTGAGATTTCTTGACGGCCTTTTTGAGGAAATAATAATCTGAAAAAGCAATACCGGGTTAACTTTTATATACCCTAAATAACCATCCAACAATTAATTCATCAATTAATTTGAAAATGATTCGTAAATAGGAATCAAACCATTTTGGTGCTTTTTTGAGAAAAACAATAATCATGTGATTTGAAAGCTACGGCAGCGCTAAGTTTTTTTCACTTAGTCGAAGCTTTGAATTTGTCAAAAAATTCAATGCGGTTTAAATCGCAAACTGCATAAAAATTTAATCTTTTTAAAGTTTTTTTTTCAACAAAAATCAAAAATGTTTCTCAACTAATCACACTCCAAAAAAACAATTGAAAACCTCTATCCCTATCGGTCCACTTAGGTTTCATGAGAGAAATAAACCGCTTAGTACTGACTAAAAACTGAGGGGTTAAAAGCTAATAGTAATTTAATTAGTATCTACATATATATATATATATATATATATATATATATATATATATATGTATATATAATATATGTAAATACAAACATATATATATAATGCAAAAGATTTCACAGATCAAAAAACTATCAGAAAATTCTCGACAAATATTCCCAAAACTCTGGAATGCCATATGTTGAGAATGACAACATTCCGACTCTGGGATGCCATTTCTATTGGTTTTGCTTGCCAGAGTCACAACCCTCATAGGATATAAGGTATGGTGGCAATATCGCAGCAAAAATACCTACTGAACAATAACAATAGCCAACTCGATATTGAACTCAGAAAAACGAATTTTAGTAACTTGGCGCTTCATTCCCTTTCAACTCAAACCCTATCCCACTATTCGATGAGTAGCTAAGAATGCTTGTAGTCTCGCTTTACTCAACAAAATCGACACATCACTATTTCAATCTGCAATCTTGACACAATCTCTCAATTCATCTTCAATATACGCAATCTTCTCTCTCTTCACAAGCATCTCTTTTTTTCTCTCTCTACAAAGACGACTATTTCACAATACAAGCAACTGTTTCTCTTCTCTCCTCACTCCTTTAATGAACCTACTCAAAGAAGAAAGAAAAGAAGTTTCTCCATCCATCCATCACAATAAAAACGTAAAAACTCATTAAATCACTGATGGGTGGAACCTGCTCAAAACAAGTATTTAATATATCCAATTATATTCTTGATAACTATCTCTGTAAAAAACTTAGAACTAACCAATCATGATTCACGACTAAAGCTTAAATTGTAAGGCTGAAACTATTTATAGTTTCAACCAGAGAAGATTAAATTTAACCTAGCAAACAGTTGCTCTTTTTTTATTCTAAACCTCGCAACAAGACTAGGGCTTACTAGATCTATTGACACTAGGAGTTATAAGAGTAAGATTAGAATTGGTATAAGACTGAGAAAATGCACGAACCTATCCGGAAGAAAATAAGATAGCGTGACGAGCAGACGGTTTACTTTATCCAAAATTCTTTTATGAGAAAGCCCCCGGACTTAAACTCAATATAGGGTTTGTCGATCAAAATGGATGTCTTAAAACTGTACCAACTGTACCAACTGTACCATCTGGATAAGGAGGGGCGACTCCTTGAGAGAAGAGAGATGAGGAGGGGGAGGGCGAGTTGGGAGTGGTAGCATTTTCCCTCACCGCCCTAAATACGCTTCTGGTTCAAATGATTGCTGCATTTTTTCTTCGATGCTCACATCTCATTCTAATTTTTCTCAAACATTTATAAGAGTTTTTGTTTAATTTTGTTTTGGTTTTGTTCGTTAACGTAAAGAATCATATATCTCCCAGCTATTGTCTTGTCCCAGCTCAGTAAATAACCATAAATAATAGTACTAGTACGTAATCTGTGGTTCAAATTGCGTTTATCCACAAAGCCAATAAAGTGCCGATAAAAGTTTCCACCAACCCCTCCCTCCCCCCCCCCCCTCCTTTTTTTTTTAAATTCTGGTTGACAAATTTTTTGGAACTTTTTTACGATGCACATTTTGATTTACAAACCAAACTTTATTTAAAGGAACTTCTGGGCCTAAAATTGTACACTAAATTTGAGGAGCATCCACCAAAAAAGCAATTTCTTGTCAAACCTTTCAAAAAACGCCTTTGTTAAATATAAAAAAGGTCTTTCAAATATATAAACACAATTTTGAATTTTTCATTGAACCAGCCGAAGTATGAACCAGCCGAAAAGTTACATCTTAACAATGAAGCTTGTATGAGTTTCGTAACTGTTTCATAATTGTTACATAACTATTATATAACAATTCCGTTTATAGCGGCTGGTTTATAGCTAATTTGTATTTCGGCTGGCTTATATACCACCAAATTACCGCGGCCAAACTTTCCCATTTCAAATTTTGTGAAACATTTTTTCTATCTGTTGTTTTGTTGATTAGTATCACTATGATCAGAAAAGAGACACGCCCACCGCTTGTTCTGAGATGATGACGCACCAAAACAGCAGAAAGAACTCACACGCGTTCTTCACTGAACGCGAAATATTCCACCGGTGGAGTCAGTTCAGAAAAATAGACTTCAAAGTGCCTGAATGGAAGGACGATGATGGAGCCAATGTGACCTCGAAGTTATAGAAAATTGAAGTTTGTTGCAAATTTGTGCTTCAGCTCTGACCTTTTAAAAACCGCTAACGAATTTAAAATCAAATACTTACATAGCATATATAAGTAACAATAAATGTAATTTAGTTATTTTTAGTGTGAGAAATTAATTAGAAAGAAATGTATATTTTTAAATAGATGCTTATTGTTTGAATTGGTCAGTTGTTGAATTTTTTCTATTTCAATGAAGCGCAATTAGAAAACAATTTTTGCACCATGCTACAGTCACCTGGCAATTTGGAACCAGATCTAAACTAGTATTTATCATTGGTTATTATTATGATATTTTATCTTTATAAAATATTAAATACTAACCAATCACACTCCATAAAACTAACAACCTATTTATTTGTAAAGTGTTGAAACTACTTGTAGTTTCAACACCAGAACAAATTGAATAAAACTTAGAATACAGTTGTTCTCATTCTGGAACTAACTCGCATAAACCGGTGTACACTAGATCTTTTGAGACTAGGAGATATAAGAGTAAAATCTTTCGTTGGTTCTTTTTTTTCTCTTCGCAATAGATAATGGATTGAATTTTAAGTATGTAGCTGTGTTGTTGAAACATCCTAAGAACATCCATCACACGAAGATTAAACTTTAGACTCAAAGTTGTTCTTTGAGGAGCTAAGAGCTCAATTTTTGACCCATGAATTGCGAAAAAACAAACAGTTGCACTGAGTTCATAATTGATTGTAATAAAGTCAAAATATATCTTATTTTCTACTTGGCACCCGGGTTGACCAAAAATGCTAGTCATAAAATTTTCATTTTTGGAAAAATGCTAATCATATATTTTTCATGCAGTTCCATAATTATAGAAAAATGCATGAAAGGTCTATAACTCATTACGAGGCCAAAGTGCGCCCTGGCTAGGCGCACAATTTTGTGTCTGTTTGTTCCTGGATTCTAAAGACAAATCTTTAAACATTCCAAATTGTAAGTGGATTCCATTTTCAAAACTTCCATGGATTCCGCGTACAAATACCTATAACGTAATTTTTGTTGGCATATTTTTGTGTCGCAGATTCCGCAACAAGCGAATATAGCTAGTTGTCCTAGATTCCGCAATTGTAAGCGGATTCCGCAAACGTAAGTGGAATCCGCAAAAACTGTGAGCGGAATCCGCAATTGTAAGCGGATTCCGCAAATGTAAGTGGATTCCGAATTCTGTTTTTTATTGAATTTGTATATGAACAATTAGAAGCTGAGCTGGATTAATGCGAAATTTAAAAGCAAGGACTTAACCATTGTCAGCGGAATCCATGGACAAATCTCAAAACACTGGTTAACTAACTCGGTTGATGTAACCTTTTAGTATTTGACTTACATATCCAAGCGGGCGTTTTTTTGAATCATGGTTTGGAAACCCAACACAGAATAAAGTCATTAGGTCATTATTTGGAGTCATTGGGTTGAGAGTGTTTAGAAACACAGCATATCGCCTAATTGGGTCAGTATTTGGGATTCCATGAATCCTAAATACTTGCCAGCATTTAGGATTTTTTAAATTCCAAAATTGAATCTGGTAGATTTCGAATTCAAATCATGAAGGCAGTGTTTGAGATGAGTCGAAGGTGAAGTCAAATCATGAGCGTAGTTTTTTATTTGATTAAACAATGCTAAATCTTTCTAAATCATTAAACAAATTTGTACAAAAGTCACATATTCAAGGGACGTGGTTATCTTAAATGAACCACTACCACTATATCAGAAGAATTCTTTTTGTCATTTTAAATTGCTTAATTGAGAAAATGTAAGGTTGGAGAAATCCAAAATTAAAATAAATTCGCTGAAAAACACTTCGATAGAGATGGAGAAATGGGATTCGATCACACGCACGGTGACAATCTTTGATTAGCAGTCCACTCGGCCAACCTGTCTTGAAAAGACAATAATTTAAGCAACCCAAAACTGAACGAACGATGTATTATATAAAACTGGTTCAGTGACCTATTTTCAAACTGGGATATAAACACGAGCTATTATGACTAATGAGTTAGCTATCAGATTAGACGAACATGCGTAACCTATCAAATTTAGGCAACGCGAACGCGAAATTAGGCAAACTGAAACAGATGAACTCAGAAAAATCTCTGAAATTGGAGAAATTAGACCGATCGGTACAAGTGTCGGTAAAAAATGGTAGAGGATCCTATTCTGCCACACTCGTAAGATTTAAAATAAAAAACAACACTTTTCTTGTCGGAACGCCTTTTTTAATTATTAAAACTTAATTTATTTTTGAGAGAGTAGCTTATAACCTTATAAATGTCTGAATTTAAAAATCATTCCTGTCTAAAGTAACTGTTGCATTTTTCTCGAAACTTTGCAAAAGTGTGTGTCTGGAGACAATTTTGGGATAGATGACCAAAAAATATGTTTTTAATGTCAAAAACAATGTTTTTTTTTTGCAAAAAAACTTCTTGTTAGGGTTTTTTTTGTAGTTCGCTGGGAGGTTGGTTCGCTCCAGAGTTTTGCACTATTGCATTGTCACATGGCTACTTTTTTTATTATCAATGGTTGCTATAGATGACATTTTGCGTTTTAGAAAAAATGATCATGTCGGTTGTTCTGAAAAACCGAAAAATTTATCATCTGTTGTGTTGGGAAAACGAAGTCAATTTTTATAGGTTTTTTTAGGCATTTTTTTCCAGATTTTTTGACTTTTAAAAACAATTTTGATGTCCAAATTTTACTTAAAGACAAAAAACAACAATTAAAAAGTAGGTCATAGTTTAAAATTTGGTGGTTGACTTATTCAGTTTTTTGATACGTTGTTGTTTTTTCAGAGTATCCCTTAAATTTTTGTTTTGTTTTTCTTATTCAATTTTCAGAGCGCTGAAAGTATAAATTATTACCAATGAAATTTTTTTGCATGGATTATTTAGGAATATAACTGGTTTTTGTCATGTGCAAAAATTGGTCGGTCAAAAAAATAATTGAATAGATATCCGCCGGCAAAAAATTGAATAATTTTCAAAAATTGTGAGTTTTTTTGATAAATCATCTCATTCCTCAAAAAAGTTAGATTCGTCGTCCAAAAATGTTTTAAATGTTCTCTAGAAGTGTGCAATGTTGTGTGAAAATAGCTTGAAGTGGAAGCTTTCTTTCAATACATCTGAAATACAAATGTATGCTTAGTTACCGGTACGTATACAAAATATTATTATAACGTTCCTCCCCAACGTTATAAGTCTATCAGGCTGCTTTCTGGACCGGATAGCTCTTTGTTAAGCAATACTCCTTTTGTTGCACGCAGGGTTCAATACTTCCGGGTTGTCACACGGGACTGAAGACGGCTCGATGGATTCACTAACCTCGTCTTCTTGGTTGATAGAATTGATGGTGGGTTTGCCTGCTCACCCTGGTCAGTTCCCACTTCGTGTGCCCTGGTATCTTCAGAAGGAGACGGGACACTATTGACCCCAGGAGTCAAGGCTGTTGTCGTTGTTGTTGTTGTTGTTGTTGTTGTTGTTGTTGTTGTTGTTGTTGTTGTTGTTGTTGTTGTTGTTGTTGTTGCTGTTGTTGTTGTTGTTGTTGTTGTTGTTGCTGTTGTTTTTGATTGCGGTTATGCCGAAGAGAGCCTATAAAGGCTTCTCTTCGCCAGCATCGTAGTTCCGTATGGATCTTGAGATAGGATGGCTAGTCCCACGTTAGTTGTGCCAAAAATTTCACAACTGCGAGGTTGTAGAAACAGTGTCCAGCCTACCATCTTCTTTGCGAACTCTGACAAAGTATGGGTTGATTACTTGGTCATAGTAACAGGCACAATTAAGGGGTCGTTTTTGTTTCGAACAAAGTTACGAAGACCTGCTTTCTTGCCCGCGGAGTGCCACAATGAAAGATTAGTTCCACGAGATTCGCGCTTTACGAAACTGAAAAACTTGTTATGTGGCGTGTCGTTTATGGCGGTACAAAGCAAAGACCTCATGGCAATTAACGCTTCGGGTAGGACTGATTCCCACCTCCTAGCATTTAGTCGACGATAAATCAGTAGACAGGTTACACCCTTCCAGGGAACGCCATTAAACCATTCGGTTTGGCTGTTTCCTTTTGGGTTGTAAGGCGTCGGGCGCGAATCCGATATTCTTCGAGATTGGCAAAACTCATCGAATTATGCCGACATAAACTGTCCGAATGAATGAACCCGGGTGACCCAAAAATTGCAAAGAGCTGAGAAAAGCACGCAATCAACGCCTCAGATGTGATGTTCCGCAAAGGAAACGCGAACGGAAAGCGGCTGTATTCATCGACTACCGTGAGAACAAATCGGCTTTGTGATTTTGCAGACGGAACTTTTGGTCCCAATATATCAACTCCCAGACGTTCAAACAGTTTTGATGCCTTCACAATGTGGCCAGCTTGGGAAGGTTTGAAAAACCTTGGCTTACATTCTAAACAAGTTCTGCAAGTGGCAACAACTTCACGAACCTCAGCAAGCGAAAAAGGCAGATTATGTCGCTGAATGTACTCCCCTAGACGCGTGACGCCAGGATGAGCAAGGCTATTATGCACTTCGACATGGTCGTCTAGCAGGCAAGATGTTGTAGCAGCTACATGAATCCGAGAAAGGGCGTCAGCGGAATTATTGTCTTTGCCACAACGATACTGAATATCATATTTAAACTCGGATAATTCTAATCTCCATCGCACCAGTTTTTTGTTATTGTTCCGACTTTTGATACGAAAGTAACGGAATATTTGTGCTCGGGGTGGGTTTTTTTTTCTTCAGACAAATTTCGACTTTTTAACTAGCCATTTTTGACGGAATTTTTTTATATCATTCAAAAGGTATTGTTGTCCTGAGCTTAATTTTGAAAAGATATTTCACCTGTGATCATTTTTCGTAAAGTTATGAGGGTTTAAAGATTGCCATTTTGACCAATTTGGGACAATTAACGCGCAATATAATTCGCGCTATTAACGCGTAAGCGAGATTTAATCCGTCTTATAAATCGTTCCTAATTGGTTGAACGAAGCTTATTTACCGTAATTGATGTGTTGCAAGGA